GAGAAGTCACGGATGCAACCGAGAGTGCTTATGCGATACTTGGATGATTACTTCGCACTTCGGTACCGATGGTTAGGAAAATCTAAATGAATCCCTCAGTTTCATTAACCAACTTGATGAAATAATTAACTTCACTATGGAGGTGGAAGAAGATGAACGACTACCCTTTCTGGATGTTTAAGTCATGCGCTCTAACGGTACACTCATGAGGAGACTATACAGAGCATTTATATGTGGAATAATCCTTAATTTTCAGTCACACTATAACTACATACTGAAGAGCTTGATCATCAGAAGCTTACGAATAACGGATACTGAGTTCTGTGATGTGGTGTGGGACAAACGGACACGGAATTGCCTTAGTAACGGGTACCCCAGAGAATTTATAGAAAAAAAATGTAGAGGCTAAAATGGGCAGATTTTAACTCAAATTTTATGAAAATCAGATCAGGAATCAGGACGACAACCAAAAGTGGATTGGCCTGCCCTCATTTAAAAAGAGCCCAAAAAATTGCAGCAGTTACTAAGGCAATGGAATTTCAAGGTTATAACAAAGGAGAAGAAAACACTTTTCACCAGTCTGCCGACAAAACACGAGAAGACTGACAAACGTGATTGCTTGAAAGTTTATCGCATCAAATGTGGCAACTATGAGCAGAAGTCTATCGGTGAAGCAGTAAGAAAAATCGACCCATGAATCAAGGAAAATGGATACGGAAAGGTTCAAAATAGTGGAATACATTGCACGAGGGGCACGAAATCGACTGAAAATCGACCGAAATGCTAGTTGCATAGGGTAAAAATACGAGAAAACACAAGATCCGAGAGGCCATCGACCAAGAGAAATCGAATTAACAGAAGACTTAAAGAAGGCAGGATCAACGAAAACTTTGCATATTGCCTAAACAAAATCAGAGAATTGTTAAGCTTACTTCCATTCCGAGTGAAAGTGTTGGATGAAGAGATTCAAAGGTCGGTTTCACCAGAAGATGAGGGCGGATTTCTCTTGACCAGCTGTCGATTGACTTTACTGGGAGATTCATTCTGACGCTGTTTCCGAGGTAATCTTTTTCGATTCCGGTTCAACATTAAACCTAATCAAAGCAAGCAGTACCACAACATTTGTGGGTTGGCCCACAAGAGACTAGGGCATGGCAAGTCATAGACTTGGTTCTAGGGATAGAAACAGGATAGACGCGGCGGAGACGGAAGCTAGTTGGCTGGCAATAGGTTTTATCAGAGACGTGGTCCATGTAGCAAATGCGTGACCATGAGACTAACTCAGAGGCTTTAACCTCGAATTAGTCACTCAGACGCAGTGTGGGAAATAACGCCTCAATAGCAAAGATGGGCTGGCAGGGATCGAATGAAATACGTGAACCAGGGAGAAAGCAGACGGATCCTACGGTGCAAGAGGGAGACTCTGATAAGGCATAGGGATGGAGGACGGCGTAACAATATGGCAGACTCTGATCGACATTCTCAGCACAAGAGTGAAGGAATGTGAGAACGCCAGCGTGGAGTGTGGAGGGTTCTATTGAAAGCCGCTCAAAAGGGCACACCACAATACATTTAAATAAACAAGGAAAGAAAAGTGTGATAGTGAAGGCGTGATACGAGGATATAGGAGAGGTGAATAGCTCAGGACAGAAGGAGAGATACAACAACTGTTTTGCACACATTTGGTCAAATGATTGGCTTCACTTGTCTCTTTGACGAGACTGGCAATACTCACTGACTATGCTGGTGAAACGTCTGCTAATGTACCACGTCGATGATCCGACTTTGGAAATGATCATGGATACAATAAACTCCGGACTAGGTGCGTTCCTCTAACTCTACCTACCAATATGACCAAGTTGCGAAAACAAGTTAAACAAC